CGTAAGCCCCTCCTTGCCTGACACATCTAGCTGCCATACATTGCTGAAGTTCGAGCCCTAATACCTCAGGTGGAAACTCCAGTCGAAGCGCAGCCTTGGCCATGCGATACCATCCCACTGAATCGTAAAAACTTGCAATATCAATCATCCCGTTGCCGATGGAGGCCCCGAGTCGAACTGCAAGCTCTTCGTCAACTGACCGAAGAAAAACTTCACGCAGCGCAGCGTTGCCGCGCACCGCGGCATCCCAGTGCGCCTCGCACTGGTCCGTCCACGCGCGCACGTGCTCCTCGCGGGCCTGGGACCACGTGCGGGCCAAATGCGACAGAAGGCCTATCACACGGTCCCCTGCCACCTTCTTGGGCAGCAGGGTGCCCAACGTGAGGAGCACTTGGTGAGGCCACACCTGGTGCCACTCACAGAGGGTGAGGATGCCCGCCAGCTCGCTGATGGCCGCGTCGGGCAACCTGTCGTAGTCCAAGCAGCATGTCCTATCGACCCCCATGGCAGATGACGGTTTCATCCGTCGCAGGGCCGCTCGGATATCTGCTACCTCCAGCGGTGCCAACGCCTCCCCTCTTACTCGCTCACGAATCTCGTCGAAAACCTCAACGAGCAGATCGAAGTCGTCTGACTCGGGACCCCATAACTGCTGCCAGTGCTGGCTCTTGCTGTCGAGGATATCGCGAGGGTGCACCAGCGTCGTCGGCCCCACCTCGAGCGTGTCAGAGGGAATAGGTGTCTCCTTGATTGCTCGATGTAACGCGCCAACAGCCGGTGCAGATTCTGACCATTCACGAAATTCGTTGAGCGATCTCTGGATCGCTCTCTGCTGGGCCCGCCTAGCCAAGCGCACAGCAAACTCAACCAGCTTCGTGAAACTATCGTCGTCGACCGTGGTGATGCTGTCGAGTTGCCGTCGCCACTGTGCCCACTTGTAAGGATCACCTCGCCGCAAGACTCGGTGCGCCTCGTCAGGACACTGCAGACCTAAACTCTTGAGCGCTGCCACCAATATCTGAACCTGCTTGTCACCGTTTTGCCGCCGACGGTGACTCTGGAGTGAAAGTAAAATGTTAGACACTCGGGTCCACCAGCCTGCAACTCGGTCACGAAGTGGAGTGACTCTCTGCGGCTTGGACTGGTGGACCTCGCACACTCGAAATTGCACTGCCTGCCCTCTGCTGACGAGAGGCTCAACCTGGCCGTGGTGCGTGTGAATGGCACTCTCGACCGATCTTATCCAACTGCAATATAAGGAACTGATGTGTGGAGAAGCGGCCGAAAGGGATCCGAGCCGAAATGCTACGGAGGACGCAACAGCAGGTGCAGGGAGATTAGACGAGCTCGGAGAGAACCCGATTTTCTTCCTGGCCTGGATCCATTCGTCGTGACTGATGGCGAAACTGGCGGAGCCTAGGGTGTCAGGGGGCTCTGAGCTCACCGATTCAACTTGGACCTGATTCTGTTGGCGACCCCCAGGCTGGGCGGGGCTCTCAGAAGGCTAACTAGGGGTTGAATTCACACGAGCTGGCTCGGATGACTGAGGCTGACTACGCTCGTGCTGCTGCTGACCCACAAAGAGAGGCGGGGCGGCGGGCTCGGGAGTGCCGAAGTTGGGCTCGTTGGCCCAAGGGTCGTAGTCGAAGTCCTCGCCCAGAGGGTCGCCCTCGTCGAGCGATCTGTGGGACGCGACCTCGCCTTCGGAATCTCCCTCCCCCTCGCTCTGGCTCTCGACCTTTTCTATTGCAAGAGCCTCGCCAAACCACTCCTGAATGCGAGCATTGTGCTTCTCGAGCGCCAACTTCTTAGAGCTGTCACGCTTGGCTTTGCTGATGCTTGACTTCGAGCCTTCAATCGCTTGCTGCCCCGGCCTAGCCACTTTGGGCAACCTGGGAGCGAGTTCCAAAATTCTGGTGAAGAGCTGACTGGCTTCTCCTACGAGGTCTACATGGAGGCCTATGTGGGGACGCCACGGCACATCACACACAGCACGCACGGCGCGGACATAGGGTCGCGCGGCAGCGCTGACAACTAAATAATCAAGGTGCGAAGGTTTGCTATCCCCCCCAGGGGTACAAGTGAAATCGGCCTCGCAACAAAGGACCTGGCCTCCTACCCTGTCTAGGAACCCTGTCCGAGCTAACGAGGCTGGGGTGAAATTCCAATCGGCAGCAACGATCCATGGGAGTTGGAGCGAGGAGAGAAGGGAAGCGAGCTTCCTAAACCTGGGAACATTCTGATCACGCATGCCGACAGACGAGTGACCATAGAAAGTGAGCACAACTACCGAGTATCCTTTTAGCTCAAGCAACATCGGACAGAAACCGTCGAAAGCATTGCCTCGCTCGGCCTTGAGTCCTGGAACTGCCCTCGCCTCATCCAGCACTTGGGCTGGGCGGTGTCGTGCACACAAGAAAATCTCTCCTCCCTCATTCGAAGTTGGATCAGCGTTGCTAAACCATTTACTCTTGGGTCTGGCTGGATTCGCGAAAAACTTGAGAGCTGACTCACGAGCTTTCTTTTTCCAGCGCTGCACCTGCGTAGCCCCAACGTGGGACTCACACAGGCCGATGTACGCGTAGGTCTGCATCAACGTGCCCACGACATGCCCCCATACTTTGTCGCCCATGCACGTGATATTCGAAAAGAACATAGCTGTGGTTGCGCTGCTCGTGGTTGTAGAACAACCTGCAGCGACCGATGAAAGTGTAGACGAAGACGGGCCAGAGGACAGAGCGGAAGTGGAAGAGGTAGAGGATGAACCAGTAGACGCACTGGTCGTACCCGTCGTCGTGGCCGTGGAAGGGCCCGACGACACACTCGTGGAAGTACCTAGTCTCATATCGCACCAGGTCGCTACACTCTGCAGAAGTGGGAATTCGTTCCAAAAGGTTAGAAAATACTCCGCGGATATGTTTTCAAATAACGTTACAACATACTCAAAAAAAACACATGCGGATAATGTTTAAAAAGCCATGGTGTTCGATTAACTATTCCATGTAGAGCGGCCTGGTGCGATACAAACCCACTCCTCCTCCTCCTCCCTCCCACAATATACACCCCTTCCTTTTTCGTGGAATAAGTGAAGGGGGGGGGGAGGAGGAGTAGGAGACTAATGGAAGGAAGAGGGGGGCCAGCAGCAACGGCAGGATGAATATATTGACTTCAGAACGCCCGAGAGAGCACCGTGCATTTCTTTTCGCTTCGCTGCGCCCCCGCCGAGACAGTCAGAGCAGGGCTTCGGGTATAATCCACGCAGTGGTGAATCGTATTGTTTGCATGGCCGTTTGCATTGTCTGTGAAGCAGTCGCCCCAATGATCTCTATAGATGCATTGTTGAATGGTGTTTCCGCCTCAGTTGTCGATTGCGTTGTATACGTATCATTAGAATGATGCCAGTTTCTGTTACTTCTGCGGCTGGTGATGAACGCCCGCCCCCCTTGTGAGGATGTTTCTGGTTGGCAGGTGTGTTCCCGAAGGTCCCTCGTGCAGATTCTTGTCCGTTCGCGGCATTGTTCGTTGTATTTCGCAATTGTAGTTCGGTTCGTTTCGGTTGCCCCCCTCGGATGATCACCCCCCCTCGTGGTCGGAGCCGCATGTGTTATGCGCGGGTGTGCCGTTCCACCGCGTGCCTGTGTACAACGAAGGGCCTTCGCATCGCCGATGCCATCAAGCGCGCGGGGGCTGGGCCACGATGCGAGTTGACACGTCCGTCCAGCATCGCCTGTGTCGCCGCCCAGTTTCCATAGCCGTTTTGGCTGATTCAGTTGCTCATCCATATACGATTCGCAAGCTTCGTGTTTGCACTCCGTGTCATCAGTGTGTTCTGATTTCATATGGCCTCAGGGCGTTTTTCTTGTGTGAATGTATCACTGCGCTCTGTTAGTTTCGTGTGTGTTCTGATTGCTGGAATGGCTGACCAGATTATCCAGAGGCCTGTTCGGAGAGGAGGCGACCTTGCAGTGGCGAGGCAGGCCGCTCAAGAAGCAGCTAAGCGACGACGGCTCGAGAGACAGGACCTCCATGATTTCATAGCAGCACTGAAGGCTCCACCAGAGGTCAAAGCAGATGACGACACTGCGACAATACTGCTCCAGCCACCGTTGATCTACCATGTGGGCCGCGCACTTGCGCTATGCCGATCCCGTAGCCAGTCAGCCACACTTGATCAAGACGACGACACCATCAATGTGTATGATATTATGTTTGGCACTTCTGCTATCGATTTGTCATTTGCTACCCGGACGGCCCAAGCTGCTTTCACACAGGTGGGCCGCAATACAGTGGCCAAGCTTGGACGACTACTGGCGGCGTCCACATTCATGATCGACAGGTGTCGCCGCAGAACGCTGGCGAGTGCAATGTTCAATGATGTTCGGGTCCGCAACCTTCTCGTGGTAGATTCAGTGGGGTACGACGAGACACCTCTCACGCTCAGAGGCAGCAGGGGCCGCCACAAAGAGCTCGACATTGACCACGGTGCGTTGCCGAATTGCGTGCTGGCCCTCCTGCCGACCAACAGGGCGAGCGTCCCCACCAAGTTGTTCCAGACGCAACAAGAATATGCAATGCTACTGGGCACCTGATGACGATGCTGGCCACACGCGCTACACGATTATCACTGGGGTGGTCGCTTCGCATATTCAGCCTCTGCACAGAAATACGCCAGGGTGTATATTTGCCGCGCTGCGGGAGACATCGGCAGCGACACTACCAGAATGCCATTTCGAGACGTGCGCGCGGGTGGCCTCCGTCGACCGCCACCCGAGCAACCTTGTTGTAGAACGGAGGATATCTCGACACATGATGAACAAATTTTCGCAATGGGCGCCGCTGTTATTCCCGTGCGAGCAACACATGTTGCAGTCAGCCCGAATCCTCGCCACATGGCGGTTCAACGGCGCCATCAGTGGAATGATCAATTTAGTACTATCGCTCAACATCCAAGCTCATATGGATACATTCCGTCAGTGTCTCGTGGACACGCTGCGGTCCAGGTGCACGATCATCCATGAGCGGCCCAGCTTGGAGGTTGAGAAGCGCAGGAAGCTCATCTTACGTTGGTTCATCAACAGGAAGGCAGACACGCACACGGTGGTGCGCGCTTTGCTGGAGACATTGGCGACAGGGAATTGGGACTCCCCGCGCCTCGAGATCTATGTGCCCCCAGCTGAGCCATTCGACCAGGACCAGCTCTACGAGTTGGTATCCCGTGGAATCGCCAGAGCAATTTCGTATCGTAACTTCTCGATGTGCCAGAGGAAGAAGTGGATGGGCGGCGACGAGGCCTGCTGCGACGTCGCCATCCCTCTGCTCCTGACGACGGATCTTCTCAAGGACGCCTACAACCTATTCTGTCGCCGCGTCGGCGGGCATGTCCACGCAGCCCCAGTCGATGCACCCGCTGCCGGGGCCGACCTGCCCGTGCTGATGGACGAGGCGGGGGCTGAGGAGGCAGCGGCGGCCGAGGATTGGCACGGCACAAACAAGCCCAAACGAAAACACAACGTGCTCCGAACACACCGCAAAACAATTGTTTCATTGCAGGCACAAGTGCGGGGTGTTTGGAGCACGCGTGTGCGTTCGTTTGCTTTTGCTTGCGCCGCCCAGGACGATCCCAATTACGACCCCAGGGGCAAGGCGCCAATTGCAGCGTGGGCGCAGGAGGTGGCGAAAAAGAGGAGGATCGCACAGGACTGGCTTTCTGGCACCCGCGGGTGCGCCCCGTGTTCACAGGTCGTCGCGCTCAAGATGATACTCAGCGTCGTGCAGACGATGCAGGCAGAAGAATTATTCATCGGGTCAAAAAAATGGGAGCAGAGAGAACGAGCTGCGGCTGCGCGTCGGGCCAGGAGTGGCACTTCAGGCATCCTGCGGGACTACCCGATCATCGTGCACAGCCGTGGCGACATCGAGACTAGAGCTTTCCGCCGCTTGAGAACGCTGCTCTTCTGTCCAACAATTTGGCTTGTGCTCCGCGAGACAGAGCTCACGAACAAGCTAAAGGTTGACGTATTCACAGGGTTGTGTGCCGCTGGAGCTCTCATCGAGAAATTAATCGCGCTGCCGCACACGCAGCCTCCCTTCAGTCTCTTCATGGTGCTCGCCCAACCGGAGCTGGCGGGTGCCATTCAGGCCGCGCCCGCGTGCCAGTTGGACGCATGGTCTCGGCGGTTCCTTGCAGCCAACGACCTCGGCACAGATGTGGCGCGGCTGAAGCTGCTCGTCCACGCGTTGGTTATCCACCTCAACACGGACAGGCTCGAGGTCGACAACAGCCACCTCAGGAGAATCGTTACGAAGCACGTTCAGTGCCCCCAGCCATGCACGATGGACCTGAGCAGCAGATGGATGGGGACGGCAGTGCGTCAACATCGAGAAGTGCCTCTCAGCGGTCCCGCTGGCCACCGACCATCCAACGTCGACCAGGGCGACGACCTTCCAGCGAGGCCTCCGCGGGGCTCAGGCGGCGGAGCTTGGAGGGCATTCGTGAGGCATTCGGGATCGAACGACCTCAGGGAGGTCGGGAGGCTCTACCGCGCGCTGCAGGACACTGTCGGCGACGAGCTCCTCGAGACCTGCATCAAGGAAGGCCGCGAAGCCGCTGAGCGGAGGCGGAGCGGCCGCAGGGGCAACGCCTTTGGGCCATCGCGGAGGGACGTGGAGCGCCAGAAGTTCAAGGCGTCCCTCGCGAACAGAGTGGCGGCTGGCGGGGGGCAAGCTATGGACCCTGCACTAGACAGGCTCATGGAGGACGCAGTGTTGCACCAATACACGACGGATGAGACGATTGCTCTTGCGAATGGAATTCGAAAGTCAGCAGTGGCCCACCGCATCGCAGCTGAGAAAGCAGACGCTAAGGCACTTCATGATTTCAGAGCTGAGCATTCCCCAGGTTGGCGCCAAGCTTTGTGCCGTGACTGCTGCGCATTGCAGCCGCTCGCATCCAGCATGCACGCCGAGCCTGGGCCGCTGCCTGGCGTCGTCCACCTCCGCCATGACATACAGGCCTCTGCAGAGGATGCTCGGGATCTGGTGTCGCACATGCGTGCGATCGGGGGTTCCCAGACGGACCTGGCGCAGGCGATCGAGGACCGCTGGTCGTTCATGCACAGGACGTACGCCGACGACGCCGAAGACGAGAAGTACGAGTCCTCGGACGACGGGGAGTTCTACCACGGCGAATGCTGGGGCCACGGCATCTGTCTCTGTGGCCCTAGGGGCGACATCGTGTGGAAGCTGCGGAACTCTATGTTGCTCGCTCTCCGCACCGCGTTCCCGCGGCAGGCAGAGCATGCGTCGAGGCGCAAGTTGTTGAAGGTGACGGGGGGTCTTGGCAAATTGGGTGTCTTTGTGGGTTGGCTGAAAGCAACAGAGATGATTTCTATGGTAGGTCGATGTTGCACGGGCGACTTGCGTGATCCGCCGACCCCCCATTACACGACTGCATCAACATCGGTCGACGGTGCGCGTGGGGCGTGGGCCACATCACCCCGCCAGGAACAGTGGCCATATCGATGCCAATAGTAGCGTCCTTGATGCTACTATTGGTATCGTTATGGCCTCTGTGTGTAACGCCAGTTGGAACTAGACTGAGGTACAACACGCGGGCGAAACTGTACATGCACTGGTTTGGCACTGCACGCGCACGCGCAATCAGGAGGAGGAGGGGGGAGGCAGAGAAAAGGGGAGGGCGAGAGAGTTCAGGGGCAGGGGCAGGGGCAAACACAGGAGGATGTGCTGAGTAAAGTTCTGGCCGCGCAGCGTGGGCAGAACTTCACTCGCCCAGAACTCTCGCTTTCTGAGTGTGGGAGGAGGAAGAGGGGGAGGAGGAGGAGGAGGAGGAGGAGGAGGAGCAGGAGGAACATCATCAGCAGCGCGGGCAGGACGGGGCGGAGGAGGTGCAGCTGCAGGGGCAGGATCATGAGGAGGAGGAGGGGGAGTACGTTTCACGACAGTTGCATTATGGCCGCACGCGGCGTCGGGCTGCGTATGCCCTCTGCGTCCAGTTACCCTCAGCTACATGCAGTTACAAGTTACCTTCAGTTATGCTAAGCCTCACCCAAATACATTCAGTCCCTCGCAGTTACACTCAGTTATACTCAGTGCCCCCAGTTCCATTCAACTCCCCCCAAGTATATTCAGATCCCCCCACTTACATTCCGTTTACGCCACCTGCGTTGAGCGTTTCGTTATCACACCTCGCTTCTCTCAACCACACGCGTTTCCAGATGCAAGCAACTGGTGGGGAACCTGAATGTAGCAGCGGGCACCTCACTATCAACGCCTTCCTTCGCCCGCAAGTGCCCCTCTTTCTTTGGCTATATCGCCTCATTCTTCCTCCTCCCCATACTTGCCTGCGGCCGTTGGTGCAATGATATGTGGGGAAGCAGATGATACCAACATCGACATCATTACCAGCATCATCATCACCCTCGTCCTTGCCCACGCTGTCATCATCACCATCATGACCATCAACCTCATCATCGCTATCATCGGCGTCATTGCATTGCTGCCGAACCGCCACTGTCGCCGTCACGGTACAATCGTCTGAATGGGGCTGCGGGCACCCACGCGCCCGCGCCGTGGAAATGCCCAGCAAGGGAATTATGTATATCATTGCTCTTTGTACATAGTTTACCATGTGCCATCGTCATCGCCATCGCGATCGCCAGCATCGTCGTTATCGTTGCCACCACCATCGTCATAGTCGCCACGGTCACCATCATCATCATTATTGTGATCGCCACCGTCGTCAGCATCGTCGTCGGCATCGTCGCTGCCATCGACGTCGTGGCCGCCGACGTCCTGCCAGGTCGCCAATTGCGTCGCCATCACCATCGTCGCCCGCCCTCCACCCCCCCGCAGCACTTCTTCATCTTCGCCATCGCCGCCGCGGCCTTCGTCGCCATCGCCGTCATCATCGCTATTGCGATCGCCATCGTCATCGCCAGCATCGTCGTTGGCATCGTCACCAAAATCTCCACCACCGCTATCAGCATCAACATCATCAGCATCGCCATCGGCGCCGTCATCGCCGTCGTCGCCGACGTCCTGCCAACTCGTCATCTGCGTCGCCACCGTCGTCGTCCATCCTCATCCTGCTCCCCATCACGCCACCGTCGTCATCATCGTCACTGTCCCCGTCATTTTCGTCGGCGCCGTCATCGGCATCACTCTCGTCATCGCCACCCTCGCCATAGCCAACATCGCCCTAATCGTCATTGTTGCAGCCATCATCGCCGTCACCGTCGCGGCCCTGACCATCGTCATCATTATTATGGTCGCCATCGCCATCGTCGCCGTCAGCGTCACAAACGCAATCGCTAGTATACGGGCTACCATCATGGGCATCACCACTGCCATCGTCGTCGCTGTCGCCGTCGCCAGGCCAACTCGCCATCTTCGTCGCCGTCGCCGCCCCCCCCCCCACCCCTGCTCTTCCTCCTGCTCATCCTCCTGTCTCTCCTCCACCCGTGCCCCTCCAACCCACTTCTCCCGAACTGCCCTCCCAAGGCGTGCGATGGCACCCTCTCATATCGGTCAGGCGCTTCGCATGCGCCTGCTCAATATGGGAGGCTGCCCAAAGCGCATCCAAGGCGTCCGTAAACCGAGCCGCGTCGAGCTCAACGGGCCCCCAAGATGCACCCGTAAGGTCACCGAACAGAGCCCGAGAGAGGCTCAAGCGAGGGGCATTGCCAACTGAGGCGTTGCCGACGCCACCGTTGTCATCGTCGGCATCGCCACCGTCCTTCTTGACGCCCCCACCGTAGTCATCATCGGTATCGTCGTCATCGCAGTCATTGCCAAAACCGTCATCAATGTTGTGCCATCGTCACTGCCACCACCATCATCACCAACATATGTATCACAATTGCTATCGTCGTCGCCATCGCCTTCCTGCCGAACCGCCGCCGTCGCCATGTGGCGTTTGCCTGTATGGGACTGCAGGCGTCGTGCCCCGTGGTAAACTTTAGAAGAGGACATGTAGTACCAAACTAACTCGGTGTACATAATATCCTCCGTGCCATCGTCATCGGCATCGTGATTGGAGTCGTCGTTATCGTCGTTCTCATCATCGTCATACTCGCCAGCGTCACCATCACCATCATCGCCATGATCGTCCCCGTCGTCGTGGTTAGCCATTGTCGCCACAATTGTCTTCAGTACCATCAGTATCATCATTCTGATCACCACCGTCGCCATCTTCGCTATCGTCGCCATCGGCCTTATCATCGTCATCAGCATAACCCTCATCTTCATCGCCATCGGCCTCGTCGCCACCGTCGTCCTGTCAACTCGTCATTGGTGTCGCCATCGTCAGCATCACCCTCCTGTCCCTCATGATCACGGCACCTTCGTCATCATCGACATCGTCCTAGCCCCGTCGCCATCGTCGTCAGTATCGTCATCGTCATCATGATCCGAACCGCCGCCTCCACCATCAACATCGTCATCGTCCTCGGCATCATCATCGGCATTATCGTCGTGGCCGCAATCGTTCTTGTCATCGTCGTCGTAGTCGCAGCCGCCATCATCACCATGCTCATCGACATTGCCGCCGCCGTCGTCGCCAGCACCGTTGTCGGCATCGCCATCACAATCGTCATCCTCATGGGCATCATCATCATCGTCGTCGCCGTCGTCACCGCCATCGCCATATCCCGCGCCATCACTATCACCGTCACCATCCCCGTCACCGTCACCGCCGTCGCCATCGTCGCCGTCGTCGCCACCGCCAGCATCAACGCCATCGCCGCCGCCATCGTCGCCATCGTCGTCGCCACCGTCGTAGCATCGACGTCTCACATCTTGTGTCACGACAAGGGCCATGGGGGGGGAATTCTGTACACGAGAATTATGTTGTACAGGATTTCGCCATTTCGGGTTTTCCACGGGGGGGGGCTACAGCCCCGCTCGGATCGATTGCAGCGCGGCGCATGTCCGAAACCTGCTGGGCATATCAACTTCGAACGTGCGGCAGTGTGGTGCATGTTTGGGGGCTGCGTGCAACTAGGCTTAACTGGACGTGTGTCAGTGCAACTAAGTATAACTAGGTGTAATTGTTGTGCTGCGCCGCACCACCGCACGACCTACCATGTAATAGTCGTGCATTGGCCAACCCACCAAAGAGTCCCATGCCGCCAATGCGTCCTCCAGGACGGCCTCGTCGTTGCTAGATTCGATTGTTCCTTGCTCGGCGGCGCAGAGTCCGAGGGCGAGCTCGCTGAATTTTGGGGCTTGGCATATGATTCCAGATTCTGGCATGTTAGTTTCATGTCGCTGTCGCCCTTCGAGCCTGAGATGCAACTGATGGAGCTTGCCACCGAGACTGAGTCAACGGGCGCTGCCGCGAGCGCAGCCGAGATCGCTTTGAAGGCAGTGTGGTTTAAAGCAGGTCTGCTCTCAAACAGCCCCCGTAGTTTCTATAAGATTTGGCCCCCAGCCTTTCGGCATTCTAAGTGATCAATGTGCTAATTGGTGCCTGGGCAGATCGCACGCTCGAGCATATGGATACTGCGCACCACCACTACAACGCACCACGCGTCCGTGCATACACAGCATGCGCACGACTTTACCACTGACGTTTGGACGTGTACCACAATGCACCATAACAATCGTTACAACGCACGCGCGCTTAGCTGCCTACTAGTAACTAGTACACTGTGTAGGCGTGTAGACATATAGGCGATAGACAGAGCACGTGTGCGCCTGTGATGTGGGTCCAATCGTGTTTGCCCTGTCCCAGAGCAGGCTGTTGGCGAGTGGCGCAACCTGTGCCGCGTGGCCGACACATTCGAGACGAATCTGCGGTGGGATGTTTCTTTCATGGAGATCCAGTCGCATTCTCGCCCTGTGCCTCAGTTCCAGCCAGGCGTGGTGTTGGTGCGGCCCTTTGCCTCGCCCGCTGCTGGTGTTCAGGTGTGGCCCGCGCGGCCGCGGCCGCGAGGGCGCGGCGCTGGCCGCGGGCGCGTTCGCGGTCGAGGAGAGGGCCGCGGGCGCGGCGGCCGTGGCCGCGGGCGAGGCCGTGGCGCAGCGGCCCAGGCCCACCGCGCTGCTCCTGGCAACGGCGACGAGGGCCCCTTCGAGGACTCGCTGGGCCCCGTCC